TATTTGGTACCGGGAACTGACCCCAGATGCACTTTAGTATTGATCTGCACCCCAGCCCTTTTAATTTTTTATTTAGAGACAGGGTCTCGCTAAGTTACTGAAGCTGGACTTGACCTTGTGATCCTCTTGTCTCAGCCTCCTGAGTCACTGGGATTACAGGTGTGTGCCACTGCACTCAACTGGAGCTTCCTTAAGAGGGGATTCTTCTTCATCATGTTGTGATGAACCAACACGATAAACTTTACTTTCTGAAAAGTCTGAGAGGAGGAGAGGGATACAGGAAGCGGGCAGGGGTCGGTCCTTTCTATGGCTAGAAGCCAGCCGAGTCTCCAGTTCACCAACCACGCTCTCCAATTAGAGGAGCCACAAGCCACCACAGGTGACTATTGAAATTGGAATTAATTAAAATGGAATAAAAATTTAAAAATTTATTGCCGGGTGATAAGAGCCACACCTTAAGTGCTCAATAGCCATCTGTGGCTGGTGGACAGTACAGATAGAGAGCACTTCCACCAGCCCAGAAAGATCTATTGGCCAGCACTGCTTCAAAAGGGCTCAGGAGAACCATGTATCCGTTGGACAATCCATAACAGAGAAATTAGAAACTAAGAGTGCAGAGGGGACTGGGAGACAGAAACACACACCGATGCCATGGTGACGTCAGCTGGAAGGTGATACATCACTCCTGCTAAAACAAGTGGCCCTTCCTCACAGGCCCAGCAATTGGCCCATGCAACCTTCCCTCCCCCAGGAACTCTCCTTCCTCAATGCATAAACCCCCCAAACTCTGAAAGAGCAAGCAGCATCTTGGGAACGCATGCTCCTGGCATGGCTTAGTTTAACTTGCGGTACAGCATTCCCGGTCCCACCGGGGACCACGAGTCCATGGTGCTGACTGAGGAGCGCCTGCGGCGGCTTAACTTGCTCGAGATGGAGGAGTCCTTGTAGATAGAATAGCCGTGCTTGGCAAGGCAGGGCAGACCCAAGAAGTGCAGGAACATTCTCGAGATTTGAAAGATCAAGTACAAGTGGCTCAGCTCCCTGAACTGTTTTTTGATGATCCGGTGGATGAACAGGGCGATGGAGAGGTGGATGCACTCGTAGACGACGATCCACACGGCGTAGATGGGCAGCCCGGTGTAGGTGTTGTGGTGGAGGCAGTAGAGGAGGAAGCAGCTGATGCCCAGGGTGACCAGGGACAGGACCGTGTTGATGACCTGCCTGTTTCTCATGACCCAAGAGCCCAGCTGGGAGTCGGTGGTCTTGTAGATGTTGTACTTGTCTTGGTAGCCGATGTACGTCATCTGGTTCAGGTCAAAGATGAAGAACTGGACGGTGTTGAAGACAGAGAAGAGGCCCACCAGGAAGGACCACATCCTGGCATCCATTGTACACCAGGGTCACCGGAGTATTGCCTGCAGAGGAAAAAAAAAAAAAATATATATATATATATAGGGACACATGACAAGATAGCACAGCTTGCCTGAGGCTAATGCCCCAGGCCACTAGGGTTGGGGACAGCAGTGCTGCTGTGTGGACAAGCCATGAGCTGGAGGTCAAGGACATGGGTGTGATCCCTGCTCTAACTAAATCAGCTGTGGGAACCACATCACTGGGAAATGAAAGCACCTCTGGCCTGGGGTGATCGGAAGGTAGCTTCCAACTCTGCAGCCCCAACTCCAGCTTTACTTTAGATGGAAAAAAACTCAAAAAAAACAACCCACAAAACCCTGCTCTTATTGTTCCAGGCTTGTGGGCCTTAGGAAGCTCCTGTATCTGGAATAATGATGGGATAGATTTCAGGGCTTCCTTCTGGTGAATTTGTTTTCTCCAAAGAAAGGAAGCTCTTCTGCCTCCTTAGAGCGTGGGATCATCCCCTAACCCTCCCCCTGTCTTTCCTTCCAAACCCTTAGAAATGGAATTGTCTTATTTTGTTCCCTGGGAGTGCCTCGGTCTTGTCCCAAGTCACAGGGTTGGGCCAGCAGTGGGTGGCATGAGGGAAGGTTCATGAACGCAAGACTTACTATTCAGGCCAAGATGCTACCCAGGCGAGCTCAGCAGACAGGCCTCCAGCTGCAACCTTGGTTAGATCTGAACTCCGCAGGTTGGCTCCAGCCAGGGTGAGACACCCAGGGCCAGGCAGACTTTGCTGAATGTTTATAACAGAGGGTCCAAGGTTGGGGTTGGCTGGACCTCCACCAAAATGTCCCTCTACACCCCGGATCCCCTCCTTACACTTCCCAGTGCAGAAGGCTCCCCAGCAAGCCTCTCTCCTCTCCATTCACCACCCTGTGAGCTACTGCGTGGGGGAGAAGGAAGGGGCACCATCACACATGAGGGGAACACACACTTATTCTCTGACTGACAAGTTTTCATGGTGGATAGTTAAACTTGTCTGTCAACTTGACCAGGTTGAAAGACATTTAGAAAATTTGTAAAGAGCACTTCTGGAGTGTGTGTGTGTGTGTGTGTGTGTGTGTGTGTGTGTGTGTGTGTCCGTCCTGTGAGTCTACAAACTGAGGGTGGGGAAGACCTATCCTAAATATGGGCAGTACCAGCCAACAGGCTGGGGACCCATAGGGAACAAAAAGTGAGAAAAGGGGTACCTCCTCTGCAGGTAG